TCTACAAAACTAGTAGTGACAATAATATTTTATTTTATCAAATTGCTAACGAAAATAGAGAAAGAAAGTGAATGAAGTTTGACCCTGTGAATAGTAAACATGCATTATAATTTGGGACGGAGGGAGTATATATTTAGGGTTGTAAATGGATAAGCGAAAATTCGATTACCGTCTGTATCCGTTTATATGGAAAATATCCGATCCATTTATAATCCACTCCGCATTGACATCCGTTTAAATAACCGTTTATCCGTGTATCCGATTCGTTATATATAATTTTTTCCTAATTTTTATTTTTTGTTTCTCCATTGATATCTCAAAGTATAAGACATTTTATATACAACATATATATGTAGACATATAAAAATATGTGTATATATGTACCGTGTACATCTTTTTATGGTATGAAAAATCATCATAGAATATCATAAACTATAAAAAAATAAGAAAATAATTATTCCACAAAATTATAGTTGATTTAATAATATTTTGATTTAGTTTAACTGCAAATTAAAGTTTTGTTTAATTTGGTTCAAAAAATTGGAAACGAATACAAATATATCCGATATCCGATCGATATCCGACGGATGCGGATACGGTTTTGATTTTCGGTATCCGTCAAGATCCGTATCCAAATTCGATATCTGACAAAAATAAACGGACACGGATTTGGTAATGGCACATCTGATCCAATTAATATCTGTTTACACCTCTATATATTTAGAAAATAAAGAAGTCAGATGATTACTTTGGGATAAAAAAAGAAAATAGGTGTTTATTCAGAAACAAGAGTTTTTTCTCACTTTAATAAGTGGCTTTTCAGTTTCAAGTTGTGCTTTCATGATCCTAAGTCTACGTGCAAAATGCTAACTTTCTTGCATTTGTATCGGCCGAGATGGGGATCTCTTATTTTTTTTCAAATCATTCATGATGTTTACATACTAGATTCTATAAAATGAGTGTGACCTTGAAGAATTTTACAATGAATTTCATGGTTTGAGTTTTTTTTGGTAACAAGAGAAAAAAGGATGAGCTTCATTCCCAAAGGCCCCCTCATACACGGTCAGACGGTCACCGAGAGAAAGTAAATTGGACTTTAATCGCAGATCGGAGTTATTGGTAACAATGAGAGATTTGGCTTGTAGTGGAGAGAAAATGGATAAGTGTGAAATGAAGGGGAGAGTAGAATAATATTCGGATAAGGCGCTCGCTCCAGTACAATCGTGACAATACACTTTTCCTTTCTACATAAGTTTCGGAGGTGTGATACATAAGTACATACTTCCTTGTCATAGATAGAAATACTCATTTTATACTTCCTATAATTGTATCGAAAATAAAAAAAAGAAATATTCCGTATATTTTAGTTCTTATCCTAATTTCACAATAATATTATTTACTTTCATTTTAATTAATTATTTGATAAAATAAAGTATTTTTATCAAATTTAATTTTATAGAATTTTTTTTATGTGACTATAGAATACGTAAGTTGCACTTTTTATTTTTATATCAATTAATGAATAAAATGAATTTAAAATATATGAGAAGTGTATTCTAAGGTATTATTCAAGTCAAACAAAATAAATCAATTTAACTAACATAAAATAAGTTTTATTTAAATTATTCAAATGATTTATAAATTTAATGTTAATAATTAATTAACCACAAAAGTTAAAGCGGTTCGGGGCGGGGCTATGAAAAATTAGGGACCCATTAAGATTAATTTAATTAAAAAATAAAAAGGCATATAAGGCAGGAGATTTTCCAACTAAAAAATTAATTTTTTATGGTATTTCAACATATCCCTTACTTAGTTTTGCTATTCTTGGTAAAATAAATTAGTAAATAAGGAAGCAGATCATATTATGCAAATGTGAGATACACTAGACAATTAAAGAAACACAATTTTTATTCTAAATCAAATACCAAAATAAGATGATTTTATCAAAATAAGGATGAAGAACATGAATAATTTATTTAGATTCATAGTTACTGGAATCAAAATCATTAAAAAAAATTAAACGTATGGACTACATCAATTTTTTTTGTTGGAAAACAAAAGAATTGATTAATCAACACAATTGCTCTGATACCACATGTTGATCAATTCTTAAACATAAATATAAATCAGGAATTAAATCATGTGTATCTGATAATCTTGTGAATGTAATAAGAGATGACGCCATGATTCTGATGGCGATCGAGTTCCCGTTTAGGTTGTATCGTTATGATGGCTAAGGTGAGGATGAGACTCACAAGAATAGAGAGGGAGAGAGAAGGCGTAAGATTGGTGTGTTGTGATCTCTGCCTAATGACCTTTATATATATATAGACCCAAGGGAAACCCTAATTAGGTCATAAGGATAATTACGTCCATCGAATAATTATCAATTAAATACGCAAGGTATCCTGTATTACAAAACAAATTCATTAAAAATTACATAACAAGCATTATCACGAATAAAACAACCCATAGAGATCAAATGATAACTTAAATTGGGGACAAATAACACCCCAGATAGAATAAGAATAGGGGCAAGTTTCACCCTTCCTTGCTAATTTGCTTGAACTCGAGAACCATCAGGTAAACTAATTCCGCACGGGGTATAGTTTGTATGTCAAACATGTGTGACTAGGTTCTGGTCATATGATGAGATGTTCCACTGTTAATCAACCACTCACAAGAAATAGAAGACATACCATTGTATTGATTTAGCATGGAGGATTCAAGAAGAGGCATAATACGTGCCATTTGATCACTTAAATTTGCGAAGGAATCACTATTTACGGCATGTGTCGTACCACTACCGCTTCCAGCCAAGGAATTTACAGGACAATCGGTGCTGTCACCGTGAGTCGTATCCTGAACAGTCCCGTGGCCACCATTTTTATACGGCCCTCGACCACCAAACCTCCCCCTACCACCACGGGGTGCTGAACCTCAGCCTCCATCTCTGCGACAATAGTTTTTTTGGAAATCCAATAATTTTAAAACAGCTACAACATTCTAATTCGTACGTACGCAATGCAAACATAGTAACCGATTAGTAGACGGTCGTCAGGCCTGTAAATGCAACTACATCTGTGCGGTCATCACGAGCACAAATAATCGTACGATGACGTTCCTCCTGAGCAACAAAGTATTAAGCTCTATCCAAATCAAATGGGCTCTTTACAAATACTCTGACCACACACAAGTCCAAATTGCTCATCATCAAGACCCATCTAGAAATTCGTAGTCTTTTCTCGTTTCGAACGTGCACGAGTAACCGCAGCGGCGGCACAAGTACACCAACCAGTAGGGTCATCAAAACGATAAAATTGATTACAAGTTGTAATAAACTAATTATACTAGGCGAAAACAGTTTGGCCTTTCTACCGTAATGTATTTTACTCACACTTACTCTGATGAATGTGTGGACCATTAGAACCACGATACCTTTTCTTGAGGTCATCTCATAATTCGTACACAAGTAGTTTATGAGAGATGACACTTGTTTGAATTGATTCATCCACACTATTGCAAACACACACCCTCCTCAAACCTTTCTTTTATGAGATTCAAAATATATAGATACATGATAGAAGTGGTTGCCGATCCTTATAGAGGGTGTGTTAATTACGATCTGTCTTCATACTTCACCAAACGCAAGTCTGTTACTCCCTCCGTCCCAAAAAGTTTGTTACGTTTAGAAAAAACTGTGTCCCGTAAAGTCCGTTACATTTCTATTAAAAAACCACTTTTACCCCTTACTTTTTGATACCCTACCTATCACTTCATACATTTTTTCTAATAATCTACCCATCACATCCTACTCTTACCCATCACATCAAAGGTATTTTTGGAAAGTCAATACCAAAATATCCTTCTCTTAATTTCCCAAAAAGTCAAACAGTCCCATTCTTTTTGGGACGGAGGGAGTATTTTTTAGCAAATACTGGACTACAAGAATACGACAAGTTATATTGCTGAGGAAAAGTTTATCTGCACACGAGAAATTTGCAATTTACAACTTCAAATGCAATTAATTACTCTATTCCTAAATAATTTTTGTATTTACAACTTCACTCCACGTTTCTTAATCAGTTCATTTTTTAATTTACTTGTAATCAAAGAGTTACTTTGTAATATGGGTGCTTAAGTGGCTGATTAGTTGTATTTTCCATTTAAAATAATTAAAGTTGAAATAGATATTACGATGTATATTTCTTAAATTTTATTTTTTCAATTAAAATAATTTACACCTCAATTTATTCTAATATCTTCTAACTCCATCCCGTTTTTTTGTATTTCAAAATTCTTCCAAATTCCAATAAAAAAAATAATATTTGTGTGTTTGAGAGTTTCTATATTATAAATATGGATATATGGTGTTATTTTATATTCTTGATATGTCCATTTACTAGTTATACAATGTTCCTTTGAAATAAAAATTATACAGAAATGCAAGTGAATAACTTTTATGTCACTATTGAATATGGTTGAAAAAAAACTTAAAAGAATTATGAGATTTTAGTAAAGAAATTTGAAGAAATTAGGAAAAATTTAAAAAAGTGAAAGTAATTGGAAAAAATTAGAAGGATTTACAAGAGAGTTGAAAGAAATTGAAATAATTTAGAAGAGTTAGAAAGAAATTGAAAAAAAAGATACAATCAAAAGACAAGTATCAACAACAAAAATTAAAAAAACGTAACCAAACACACATTCAAATCAATCAAAACAATTCAACAAAAGAACCATTTGGAAGTACAGGAGTTATTAATTGCATTTGGGAGTAATATCATAGTAAACCCCAAACTTCTGAGAGTATTTTTGTGAATTTTTTCTAGTGTATTCTCATCAATATTTGCAGACCTCCTCACTTCAAAATTATTGGTTGCTTCATTTTTTTTTTGCAATGAAAAATGCTAACCAGAAAAAATGTGTGGACTTTTTTCATCGACATCACGAAAGAACTTTCTTCTTGAGACTTCAGAGAAAACAATGTTCCTTACAAAGAGATCAAACAATGTTTCTTACGAGTACAAATTTTTATCTCATTGGCCAAATATGCTACGAGTGAAAAAAAGGGTTTAATCTCTAAGATTGAAAGAGATGAAGAATTCTAAAAGTTTGATTTCTAATATTCATAGGGATCAAGAGTTCGAACGACGATAACTTGCAAACTCTCAAGAGATGAATGTGATCCTGAGGTTATTCCTAAAACCATGTGGATTTTCAGAGTACATAATCTTTTTTTTAGTTCTACACCACTTTTGAAATAAATTAAATAAAAAATAATTAAGGTGCGAAGAACTTAAATTAGGACCTGGGAGTACAAAGGGCATCCCAAGTGTGCAAGCAGTTCGTTCAACCAATGGGCCAGAAACGCCAACCCTACTCAACCAGATGTGTGTTTATATATCATTTGAGAATAACAATACCTGCAAAAAAAACATTAAGGTCAATCTAAAGCACTCCCAATGTGATAGCCAAGTCATGTGTGTAGCATGGATGATCGTCACAAACCTCAAAAGATTAAGGGTAATTGTTTTTGGTTCGATAGCGTAGCATATGTTTTACTCCGTAATTTCAAACTTAATTTGTTAGATAGATGAAATATGGAAGCCTTTTTTAAGCCAGAAACATTCTCATTTTTTCTACGACAGTAAAAAACCCGGATAAATGCACAACTTCTTTGGGACTGTTTTGAAATTGAACGGATAAAGTAGTGTGTTCCCCTGCAGATTCTGCATCCTCAGTCCCACAGAAAGCCTTGCTTGATAAGGGTACAATTTTAAAAGAATTGGAATATTGTAACAATTCATTAATTTTAAGGAGTAAAGCTTCGTACTATGAACGAACAAATACAATAGCGTCTTTATCTACACCCTCGGTCCAAGTAATGTCTTGCTAAATTAGGGTCCATTTTTCAATTTTTTTGTTATATTGTTTCAAGTCAATAATCGTATGTACTCCTATATTTGTGAACTTTACATGTTAGCATAACTATATATACCCTATTTTATTTGTGTGTTACTATTAGGCAAAATTGTCTTCCTAAGTGAAAAAGCCATGGATCTTATGAATAGGTTTTAAATTGGTTGGGTAGTTGAGGATGGAAGTGAATTTATTCAAGTACAAATTACCTACAGAGGTAATGAGAAGATGATCTTGGGACAACATAATGATAGGTGGGAAGATAATTTTTGGAGAGGGACAGTACCTTCGTTTGTTTGTGGGAAGATAATTTTTGGATGGGGAGAGTAGCTTCATTTAGTCAAACAAGTCTTTTGGGGCAACATAGTCCATATTATAAAATATGACGTTTTTTAGGTACCAAATATTTTTAAATTTCAAGAAGAAAAAAAACTCTACCCGCATTTCATCATCGTCTTGATAAGCTCCTCTAGCGATTAATCGGAGTGTGCATCCGCTCGACTATCTTATTTACTGCATCACGCGACATTACTAATCTGTCATGTAGAAGAATACTGTAAACATTTAAACCCTGCAAAAAATAGGCAAGTGAATTCAAAAGCTAGATTAAATAAAAATCATGTAAAAAGTTGGGGATAGTGTCTGTAGACCATCAATATGCAGCTCGAATACTTACAACCGAAGGCAACACATTGACATAATGCAGATTCTGAGTGGCTAGCTTCAGGTTTTCACTGATGGGGCCCCCATCAACAAGCAAGACTTTCTTGGTATTCTCCATTTTCTGGACATAACTGACGATATTCTTGGTTTTGTGTGAAGGTATATCCATATCCTCAAATACCATCAGCTGCAACAATTGATACCAGTTGAAATGTCAAGAAACATATAATGATTTGAAAGAGAGAAAAAGAGAAAAGAAAGCATCTGCATAGTTATTGATCTTCAAAACTTGCCTTTCCCTCTGCTGCACGAGCGGATAAAGCAATCTTGAGACCCAACCGACGAACCTTCTTGTTCAGCTTGATAGCATGACTCCTGGGCTTTGGGCCATGCATAGTAGCGCCGCCACGAAACTGTTGTCCATCCACAAACAGGTTTATAATAATTGGATAAACATAACTCAAAAAAACATGCAAGCAAGGTTTCAGAGCACAAAGGTAGGAAAGAATATCACCTGAGGGCCACGGAGTGTTCCATGCCTTGCTCGACCAGTACCCTTCTGTGGATAAGGCTTCCTTCCTGTCCCACTGACCTCGCTAATAGTTTTAGTTGAATGAGTTCCCTAGAAAGTTTGCCAGCAAAGATTTTATATATTGCCAGAAATCATAAATTTATGGAGAATTTGAATAAATATCAAGCGTTGAAAATAATGAAACTTGTGTAACCATAAAAAAATTAATACAAATAATAATTTTAAATTAGAATAGTAATTTCTCTTCTTTGAGATAGCTATGCCTACAAATGTCAGTCGTGACACAGAAAAAAAAAAGTAAAATATCCACAGCGGTGTCTCAATTCCACTCCATCTAAACCACAGCACAGCCATTGGATTTGTATCATACCTGTTGACGTTTGGCAAGCTGCCATCTCACAACACGATGTATAATGTCCTTCCTAATGGGTACATCAAAAACATCACCAGCTAACACCATTAAGCCTCTATCTCCATTATGGAAGTCTGTTACTGGAACAACCAGATCTTGACAGAGTCCTACGTTATTATTGAAGAAATCACAACACTACGAAAAGGTTGTATAAAGTTAAACAGAGAAACTATTAAATGGAAGACAGATCTAAGAGTGAATGAAAGATACAAAACACAAGAGGCTGCAAAGGTAATTTCTAAGTACAAGCAATAACAACAGTCATACTCACATTTCGAAACCACATTAACAAGCCCAATATATTCCCAACTCTGTTCGGGCCTGGGGAAATGAGAGAGAGAGAGAGAGACTAAAATGAGATTTGTGGATTCATTCTAAGTGATAGACTTTAATTCGTTGAAGTTGTTGACTTTTGTGCAAATGATTAATGTTGATTTATACAAATCCATATACAACAAACTCCCTCTGTCCAGTAAATTTCTAGTTGTTTTGACTTGGCACAGTTTTTAACACAAGACGGTTCTATGTTGCACGGAAAGTTCATATAGGCTGCCGTACCCGTGTCGGAGCCCTGGGACACGCCGAAACGGGTGGGAGACGCCTGGAACGTCTCAGAAACTCGAGGTGGCGTTTCAGTAATTCAAAACATCAAAACATTCTGGGAGACGGCACGGAGACGTGTCTTCCTTTTCAGAAACAGTTAGGACACTTCTGCAATTCTGCGTAAAAAAATGGGGCTCTTTTTATAACTTTAAAAAATTCAGGGCAAATGACAATTAGATTATATAGCCCAAATGAAATCTCTCAACCCTAGCCGCTGAGACAGAGAAACGGAAAAGAGAGAAGACAGAGATAAAGGGAGAAGACGTGGTGATGCTGAAACCAGAATTGATAATGGTCGACCTAGGTGTGTGCCTATGCCTCCTTCCATGACATCTGTGGGCTCTTCCCACAGCAGCAAATTGATTGCGAGGATGTTTTACTCGGAAGGCTTACCATTTAACTTTGCTACAAACCAGTTTTGTGTTGAAGTTATCCATATGCCACAAGCCACGAGACTGGTGAAGAGAATGCTCATGGCAAAGATAAAGATGATAATATGGTTCATGGTTGAGGACATGGTCTTTATGTTATGTCTTGTGAACTGATTTATGTTTTAATATGCTTTGCAATGACTATCTTAATTATTATGTCTTTCAAGTTTCAAATTGATTGAATCTTATTAACTGCCCAGCTACATAAGTGTTTGTTGCATGAAATCTATTCGAGATGAAAACTTTATAGTTTATTGGCGCGAAACATATATATATATACACACACACACACACACACACACACACACATATATACATATATATTTAGCGTCTCCCCGGCGTTTAGTCTCTCCAGTTTTTCAAAATAGCCCTTTTGAAGTCTCTGTTTCGGCTCCATCTCCGTCATGTCTCCGTTTCCATACCTACATAGACAACATTACCCCTGTGCACCAAAGGCTCACACACATCACGGGGTAAGGGGGGTCAGATGAACGCAACCTGGTCCCCATGTTTAAAACTTATAACGGCTGTTTCCAATTGACTTGGCACAATTTTTAATGTATAATGAAAAATGCTTTGACATTCCAATTTTAACCTTGGTTTATTTTTTGCTTTCGCCTGTACAATTTCAAGAACAGGGCTACGGCAGCTCCATCATTTGATCCATTCAAGTTGTGATCTGGCAGAGAAAAACGAGAGAGGCCAGATCTTTTTCGAGAAAAATGAGAGAGAGACATAACATTAGGTCAGGGTATAAATCAACCAGCACAAGAAAAAATGAAGAGGAGAACATTAGATCAGAAAGAAGAAGATGAGAACAACAGATTGCAAAGAAAAAAGAGAAAATGCAACTGAAATTCTTGACCATCAAAAAAGAGGTGGAGGCGGACAAAATCTTTCAGATCTGATTTGTTTTTTCAATTTAAAATCAAAATGGAGGAAGAGAGAATGAAGATATGATAGAGAATAGAGATGAAGAGAGAATGAAATGAAGATTAGACAGAGGAGGGGTAGCAACACAGTTGAGAATAGGCGGCAATGACGACTGAGGACTGTGGGCGGTGAAGTATGGGGGATGTCACCATGTCGATGATAAGAAAATAAAAAACGAAGAACGTGAGAAAAAAAAGAAGAAGAGTAAATAAGTCTTTTTGGTGTAATTTATTTGTGATTTACGGAAATGGAAAGAAATACACCGGACGGCCAAAAAGGAGAACGAGAAGAAAGATACCGAACAGAGAGAGTATAAAAGATCTTACAAAAAATTATTTTTTTTCATCATTGCTATTTTGTTGAACTGTTTTCCACACAAGATTTGCAAGACTCGATCTACATTCAATAGTCGTATCTCTTGTTGATCTCATCAATGAAAATCATCCATCTCAATCAAATAATAATTCAATGTCGCTTATTCTTCTTTCGGTTTTGGGAAAAATACACTAATAGAAATTCACCTCAAAGAAAATTGTGTAGTCATGCACAAACTAAGCTAGCTAAGCTTGTGTCTTATTCAGAAATAGTGGTATTGATTTGAAGATTATGAAATGGTGTAAAACAAGTACTACAGCAGTGGCAAGTATAAAGAACGGATAGCAAAAAATGGGATGGTGAAAATAGGAAAATTGTGAAGTCATGCACACACTAAACATAGCTACACACGTGTCATACAGAAATCATAGTTTTGATTTAAAAGGTGTGAAACATGACATAAATATTCCAACTATTTGCTCAACTGCGGCATGTCTAATGTTGAATAAGACAAGTGCATGGAAATGGAGGTTTCCCTCAACACCAAAATATTTGAGATGAGATCCAAGCAAGAATGAACAAAATGACATACAGAGTATGAGAAGAAGAAACAGAGAGCAAATAAAAACAAAGTTTCGGACAACGAAAAAAGAAAAGCACAACAATAATATAAAAAATAAGAGAGCAAAAACTTCTCAAATAGATGCCAAGAGAAAATTGTTTGGATTAGATTCATGACAACAACAAAAGCTAAATATTTAACGAACACGCTTATTTATGAACACAAACAAAAAAAATATTTGTAAAGTGAACTAGAATTTAATAACATAATTAGCATTAATAAGAAAAACTTTTTGAAGAACACAAAAACAGTGAGGCTTTTTATGAATCACGCTTTAATTTAAGAAATAATTGCAAAACCTTCTTTTAATGAAAATACGACAGTAACAACACCTTTTTGGGACAAAACTTAAGTTTAAATCTTTAACATAAAACACTTTTTTAAGAGTAAATTCCCAAAATGGTCCTTTCTAATAAGGTGTTTTCCAAAATTAGTCTTGAATAAACAATAATAACCAGTGTGGTCCTTTGTAACTGAAATGTATTCCCTAAATAGTCCTCTGCCGAAAATGTCTATTAAATGTCAGTAAAATAGAAGGTATTTTGGTATTTTTTTTATCATCTAGACTTAGGGTATATTCTCGAAAAGCTCTTTTAAAATAAAAAAAATCCAAACTGATAATTTCTATGTAAATGTTTTTCCGAAATGGAGTCCATGAGCCTACTTGGGGTGGGTCCGTTCCTCTAGCAGCCACCCACTTAATTTAAAAGGACCATTTTGAGGACTTATTCATAGTTTAGATGATGGAAAATACAAATATACCCTCCATTTAACTGTTATTCAATAGGCATTTTTTGACAGCGGACTATTTAGGGAATAAATCTCAATTGCAAAGGACCCATGTTGGTAATTATTGTTTATTGAGGACTAATTTGGAAAAACACCTTACTTAAAAGGACCGTTTTGAGAATTTACTCATTTTTTAATGAAACAAACGTAAACCGTTTTTAAGTCTCAAATGCACATAGAATAAAGAGAGGATCGGGAGATGAACAAAAGCGCAAATCACATTGGAAGAAGTTCCATACTAACCAAAAGTTGGTCTAGACACTTGGGGTTAGAATAAGACAATAATAAAGAATAACTCTTTATAACAAATAACTTAAAATCCACATGCACGAATCATATCTTACTTCCATACATTTTAATGATATTTTGAATGCCCCATAATTGGTATTCACTTTAGAAGGTTTGAATTGAATACTTTTAAACTTTGGTAGAATATATAAACTTAAAAATCATAATAGAATACAGCTAGATTCTCTTATTTATTTTTAAAAAGCATTTGCTTATAATTAATCCAAGCACGGGTCCTGCTTCTTCAACTACAGAGTTGTAAAGCGTGCAATTGAGTCCAAAATCATCCAACGGTGGATGAATCTTTCTTTTAAATTTTTCACTTGCTTCAAGTCCTTTAGGAAAATAAAATAAACACATCCATACTCCCTCCGTACCTAAAACAAAGTCACACTTTCCATTTTCATCATCACAAAATTAAAGTCACCCTCCTCATATTTCTTTTCAAGTAGAAGAATATGTCGCTCACAATATAACTCTCTTCTAAACAAATTCTAACCACACTTTTAAATTTTCAACCCTGTTGTACTCCATGAAGTCAAAAAGTGACTTTGTTTTAGGGACAGAGAGAGTATGCAGCACATAGTACTTCCTACATCTCAATATTAAGTTTCCAACTTGGCTTGGGTGGATAAGACTTAAGATTTATGTTAGAGGAAAAAAACTATATGAACCACACAATTCGTATCTTAAAAGGAAATGAGAACCTCATTTTGGAATGTCTCAAAAACAAGTGTAAACTTCATTTAGGGATGGCCTCTTTAAATTTCAGCATACATTCAAAGTTTGTTCCTTACTTCCTTCATACTCACAGAAACAACCCTCCTTAAAACAAACCAAATTTTGGATGAATTTAGAATCTTAAATTTATTAACTCGTCCTACGCATTTAAAAACAAGTCAAGACCAAATTCTCTAAAGTATACTGGCCCCACTTGTGGTCACCAATCAATCCGAAACTAGTTTTATGAATATTTGCCACTTTGCAGAATTTAGTACTTCCGCCATCCCTAAATTAAGTTCCAACCCTTGTTATAGAACATCCAAAAATGAAGTTCTTATAATTATGTGATTCATATAATTTTTCTTTCCTTTGCGTTATTTTTAACTACACATTTTTCATCTTGCGACACTTCTTAAACTTGCTGAAAGTCAAAATGATAACTAAATAATGGGTTAGAGTGAGTAGTATATACTGCATATATGGGCCTCTTTCATGAAAATCAATGTGACATGAAGCACGTGAAAATTTAAGTAAAACAAAGTTTATACACCCTTGGATGATTTTGCACTCAATCACTTGGTTTTGAACCATGTAGGACCATTGATTGGAGTAATAATAAGCAAACACTTTTTAAAACTCTTTAATTAATACACCTAAACTTCTAAATTCCACAAATTTCTAATAAGCTGTCAGTCTCGCAAATTCCACTTACACCCATAAGAATATAACTAAAAGAATGTGGTTTACATACCAATTTCACGTTCAGGTGCCGTAACACACTTCTTTGTCAATAAATCTGGGGGGAATTCACCTTCACCTGAATTGGGAGTCGGGGCGGAGGTTGTATATCTTTGTAAGGCATGGAAAATTGTGGCATTCTGTACCAGGGACATATGTCATACAGAGTAGCACACACCTCAAATATTTAGCAGCAACAATTCAATTGTTTACTTTTATAGTTCATGAGAAGTAACACAACATATAAGGAGAACGTCTAAAGAAACATCATCGACTAAATAATACTCCCTCCGTCCCCCTAAGATCTTCTCGTTTTGAGTTTTTGTGGTTTTCAAGGAGAGTTGAAAAAAGGTGAAAGTTTACCATAATACCCTTAATGAAAATGGGTGGAGTGTATTGAATGAGGTAGGTGAAGTGTAATAAATAAAGTAAGTGGGAGTAGTTGGGGTATTTTAATTGTTAAAAAAGGTAATGAGAACATCTATTAGTGACAAATAAAAAGGGTTAATGGGAAGATGTATGGGGGACGGAGGGAGTATTAAAAGTCTCGATTTCCAAAGAAAAAGAAATTATTGTAGAGACTACGAATTTGAATGCACTCATGATGGCATACCACCATTAATAGCTAATGGGTTTAAGTTTACTGTCTTAACAAAAACAATCGTGTGATGATATTTACACCTACTTTATTTACAAATACACACGAGTCTCTAAATACGCATCATCAGCATTAAAATAAATTGATTAATTAATGTATCTATGATTACATTCTCAAATGTTTCTTTCCTGATCCCCAGTATGATCCCATTTAGCCTTCAAGCTATGTAATAGCTTAATAATCATAATTCATCTAACACCAACCAAGTCGAAGCATTGCTGTTTCAAAAATGGCTCGGGGAAACGAACATGCTCTATATATTGGATATATAAAAATGTGGACAATGATTTTAAAAAACAACACAGGAAAAAATGAAATAGTTGGATTGAGTTTGAGTGTGTGAAAACTATTCAATGAATACTAAATTGGTTACGAGTTGCCAGCTTCTTGATGAATATTGGGGATCCCTTTCTTTAAGGATTACTGTGAGAAACTTGTTTTAAAGTGCTTACACTCTAATTTTGCAGGCTAACACTCAAACATTAGGGCTTCCTTTAGTTTTTTTCATTTTGTTAATGAGAGACTTGATACATAAACTTGGAGGCAAGATCTCCGGTTGTTACTCGGAAAATTTAAAATTTGGTTTGAACAATTTAGAGCTTGCTCTAAAAACAATTCAGTGAAAATGATTAGCAAGCAGCTGGGGAATTGGCACCAAGATTTTCACCGCTGGTATGGAAATTCTGGTGGCATAGAAACAAGATTATGAGTCCCCACTTAGTGATGAGCCCAATATATTGTAAACAAATTCTTTTTTAGTGTATTACACGTGACAAATGAGTGTGGTCATAAAGATATAGCACAATAACATTGGCATGGTTATCAAGGCGGTAAGTCGATTCGAGTCGTTGAAAGAGAGACTGGTGGACTAGTCGATGATTAGTCGACAAGTCATATAAAATAATAAATTCTTTTACTTATACTTTGTATCATCAACCAACCGTTTTATAACAAATTTTAGTTGCGTTAATAATAATAATAATAATAATAATAATAATTAAATAAAAGAAAACAAAATTCTAGAAATAAATAGAAGCAATATTCAAAGAAGGTTAAAAAAAGGATACAGAGTATTAATTACACCTAGATGTGCTTATCCTTTGATATATATCCGGGAGCATGCCCGAAGACTCTCCGTAGCCCGCCAAGGGAAAGACAGATCAGGGGAATAAAGCCCAAGTGTGGTGACATTAATTGGGTTGAAACTTCTCCATTTTCCTGTCTTAGAACCCAACCCAACACCATGGTTGTCCTACACCCACCCTAGGCTGAGCCCACACACTCCATACCTTCCCTAAACATCCAAAATATTTCCTTTTCAAAACAATGTTTTCCTACTCCTATTTTAGGCCCTGGCCGAAAATAAGAGTGTGTAAACCACAACCTTTGTTTGTTGTTATTTTCTTTCTTTTAAACCTTTTAATAAACAAATAAAACCTTCTATCATTTTCTATAAATCCCAGACCAAATATCCCTCATTATCCCAACACAACATCAACCAAGATATTTCCCATTCTTGTCCCCTTTATGTTCCCTACTAGGGCTGAATAAACAACCACAAAAAGCCAAGGGACATTTGAGTTGTTGTTGATACACCACCTACTAAATCAGTCACCTCATATGACCAAGAATATAAGGCCAATACACCATCCATCACCCATCTTTGTTTGTCCCCTCTTTTTAGCCAGAATATCCACCACAATCATCAAAGGATTTCATTCATTCTTTGTGATTTTTGCCTCCACAACAGGACAGACAAAGCCAGCTCCAAAGCCAAGACAAAGTCAAACAAAATCAGCCCTTATCAACTCAAGATTGGAAGCTAGTGAATGATAAAGGGATGTAGGAAGGTTCCTTGTATTTGCATTCATTATATTGTGTGTTTTCCCTCCTCTCCCCTCCTTATATATTTCGGCCATTTGGCCCTTGTAATGATCATCTCTGAATTATTAAAAA